ATTTTATTATTTTTTTATTAAAGGGGGAAAATTTCAGAGTTGTTATTATCGGGGGGAAAATTTCAGACTTGATCCAAAAATTCATACAAAATATTTATGTATGAATTAGACAGAATAACATATTTTTTAATGAACTTTTACAGAGACTATTTAATTTTAATTAATATCACTAAATTATACAAAAATGTAAAATTTCCAACAGAACAACAACGTAATGATTTAAATTTAGAAGATGAGGGAAAAAAAATAGCAAAGAAATTTATTGAATTAAAATGGAATAACAAATATTCTTTAAATGATAATCATAAGTTTAAATCTAAAAAAAACTTTAAATTTATGAATTCATTAACTGATGGAACATTTATTCTTATTAAAAATATAACTTTAGAAGGAATTATTAGTGTTTTTAATAATGACTCATTTATGAAAGATTATTTTGAACAACATGTTTTACTACTGAGATGGAATTATATGGCATGTTTAATAAGAATTTCTTCATCCATAAATCTCTTTAACAATATTAATTATACTATTTTTGAAATTGATGAGGCTGAAAGAAAAATTAAAAAACATGTAAAAGAAAAACCAATATTTGATTTTTATTATAATGAATTTATTCTTTTTGAAATGAAAAAATCATATTACTGTATATCAAAATTAGAAAAAACTCTTAAAAAATTATTTAAAAGAATATTTAATAATTAAAATATTATAAACATTTAGTTTTAATAAATTTAATTAAAATCTTGAATTTTATAAATATTTGAAATTATAAGAAATATTTTAATTAAAAAAACATATTAACAAAATACTCATTTTAAAGCTAATTAAATTAAATATTAAAAAATAAATGTTACTTTAAAGAGATAAATGTGATTTAAAAAATTAACAATTAATAAAGAAAAAATAATGAATCAGTGTTTATTTTTAAAATGAATCTGTTTTTTAATATATTCAATTTTAAAAAATAAAAGAATGAGAAATTAAAAATGAGAACACAACTAATTATATGTTAATATTTTCTTTCTAGATTTAAAAGAGTAGTTAAATCTTTAATTAAAAATTTACTTTGATCCAATTGAATAAAAAAAAGTGTTTTATACAAAAAAATTTATGATAAAATCAGATGAAAAATCAAAAAACCATAAAATGTAGTATATTTATTGAAATGGAATAAACATCTAAAAAATTATGAAAAAAATCTAGTTAATGAAATATATAAATCTTCCGCAATATGAATTATAAACAACCTAAAATTATGATGAGGTTTATTACGTCTAAGTTCATAACTAACAAATCTCATTTTTTAATATTTTTATTAAAATCTATTGTATTACTTAATTATAATATTTTATAATTTCTAAACTTAGTAATAAAAAGTATTAGAATGTATAAATTTATTAATATAATTATAAATTTTTTAATAAAAAATAACAATTTTGTTAACACTTTAATACTTTTAAAAAATTCTAATATTATGTTTAAAGGACTAGAAAAATTTAAATGTTGTTAGGTTTTTATTATTGAATAAAAAGTATAAAAACATTAGATTATAATATCACCAAAACCACACAATATTTTAGATTTTTTATTAGATCAAATTAAATATGGTGAACTAAATAATTATGAGAAAATGAAAATTCTAATGTTATATATAATAAGAAATAACGCTTTTTCTTATTAAAACCATATCTCATCTCTTTTAAAACAAAATCATCATAAAAAAGGAATGTAATACAAAAAATATAATAAAATAAAATCTTTAAAACACATAAAATTAGTAAGAAAAGAATAGATCTTTTCAATATTCTGATACATAATTAAATCTTTAATAAAACTGAAAAACTCAGTTACGATTAAAAGTTTGATCTTACTCATCTCATAATTAGTAGCAATTTTATGTTCTTCATCAGTAATTAAGTATTTTGCAGGGTTAGGATTTACCTGTGTAGTAAATTGTAATACTTTCAAAAGTGTACTTATTACATAATTAAATGCTAACGGGTAAACAGTGTAGTTGATGAGATTCCACATTTAATGGGTTAAAAAAAATAAAAAAATAAAAAAAAGAAATCAATTTATTTAGTTTCTTTTGATTTCTTAAGCATTGCTGCTGTTGTTGGTGCACCCATACCACCAGACTGTATGATAACATTCTTTAGTACGAAATTCAAC